AGATATGTCACAAGCCCGTCCATATCCACTAGCCCAAGTATGAACGCGGAGTCAGTACTGTTGATCACGTTGGCGCAACAAGTCCTCACAACGCGGGCTGAACGAGGCGTGCAAGACGACTTTGATCTTTGCAGCCTGGATCAGCGTGTTGACCGTGTTTATGGTCCCATATGGTTCACTAACACGCGGTTCTTGAAGTACAGAGATTTGTACAAACAGTGTACATGTGTCGCAGAGTTGACAACGGTGACAACAATCATTGCTATGAAACCAACAATCTCAGAGAATTCAGAATGTTTGGCGATGATGCTTGCCGCGACCATGGAAATGATGCTCTTCACCCTCTGGCAGATGGCAAATCATACTGTGCAGGTATGGGAGCATTTGGCGGAGAAGGAAGGAAGCGCAATGACCAGATGAAAGCTTGTTATGGTCAGTGTCAGAGGAGACGAATGCCGTCGCGAGAGAAGTGGACAGAGTTTGTAAAGGGCATGATTTCTGCGACAGACAGAACATTTGCGCTGCTTTCTGCTAGCGTACAAGCAAGAGTGGCATCAGCCATTGACAGGCTAGCGCGTGAGTACAAGTACGAAAGGCAAGAAGTTCACATGGACGTGGAGAGAAGACTTCTTCAGAAGAAAAGGAGGTCTGGAGCAAAAGACAGGAGAGCCGAGAGGCTTTCGGAACTCCTGCGTGAAGGAGCAGACAGAGTCCTACAGCGGAAGAAGAGTTCATGGACACCAGATGGTCATGTGGAGTAGTGGTCATGAAGGGCCTCTCAGCCATGAGGTCCAGGTTTCGCTCGCAGGCCTTGAGCTCGAGCGGACACAAGCGTATATACGCAGTTGACGTTTACATTATGTAAGAATGTGTAATCGGTATACGGAGCTGTTACGAAAGCCAGCCTTCGTAGAAGGTGCCAGCTGAGTTGTGTTTGGCGAACGAAGTGAGTAAGTAGGGGGTCTTGGGGGGTGGCCCGACAAAGCGCAACATAAACTCGACATTAGGGGGTGTTGGAGGTGATTTTTTGTGATTTTTGAGTGGCTGGTGATGTAAGAAATGCAATTTTCTTCATTTGCATCATCTGCGTGGTAAGGTGTAGTTTTACCGAGGCCGATGTGTTGTAGCTTCGTGCAGCTGTTAATGCATAACCTCTTACACGCCTGTATAAGTTCAAAGCGCTAATGAGACTCCAAATCCGTGGATTGCTGCACGTTTCTCCACGTTATCTAGCGGTTGACGGAAAGGGAAATTGAAGTGCTATACCTGGCAACTGAATTGTAGCGGTTGACAGAAAGGGAAATTGACGTGAAAGACCTGGCAACTGAATTGTAGCTACCCTGGGTCCGTATAAATGCTATTTTGCTTTACCTCTTGCACACCGATATAAGTTCAAAGCACGAATGAGATTTCAAAGTTGTGGATTGCTGCACGTTTCTAAAGGTTATCGAGCGGTTGACGGAAAGGGAACTTGAAGTGCTTTACCTGGCAACTGAATTGTAGCTATCCACGATTGCTGCACGTTTGTCACGGTAGCGGTTGGCGGAACGGGAACTTGAAGTGCTATACCTGGCAACTGCCTTGTAGCTGCCCTGGGTCCGCGCGCGCGCGCGCCTAAATCTAGATCTCTCTTCACAACGTGCTTGTGGACAAAAAACGCTGGCTTTCGTTTTGCAGCTTCTCAGGTAGGTGCTTTTTACATCTATGTCTCAAGTGTAGCTATGTTGTGAATACATTTATCATTTATCTTCAAGGCTATCTCTGGTACTGTATTGCGGTGACGCCGGAAGTCAAGTCACAGTCGCCCTGGTTCTACTCTGTTTTAGAGCTTTGTCTCGTCCCCCTCACGTCCGTGCGCCAGGAACAATACAACAACCTCTTAAAAGAGTTGCCTGAGAGCCCCGTGCAAGGCAGGGGTATTTTTATGGCAGCCAAATGCTGCTCAATTAGAGTGGCTAGCGTGCTTGTTTCTGGACATTTTCGCGCGTGAGAGATGAGCCCTGGGCAGTTATTTTGGAAAGATGTCAGTGCAACAGAGATCGAGAACACCTTTCCACGTGTCATGTTGGGCAGGTGTTCAGACATCTCCCGTGGCACCCCAGCCACTCTTGAGTGCTGGTGGTACTTCAAATCAAGCAGTGCAGAGCGGTGGCGGGCAAGAGACAAGCATAGGTTCAAGCCTCAAAGTGAGAAGTCATTGAAGGCTTTTGCAATCTATCCGTGCAGCTATGAATGCAGACGCATCATCTGAAGTCTGCAGAACAAAAGGGCTAGAAGACAACATTGGGTTATATTTTTTTAGCGTAACATAGAAAGACCATGGCGTGAGAGAATTGCGCCTGGTTTCCGTTTGTTTGTTTGGTTGTTTGTTTTCTTGTTTGGTTGTTTGGTTTCTCGCTTGCTGGCTGGCTGGCTGGCTTGCGTGCTTGCGTGCTTGCTTGCGTGCGTGCGTGCGTGCTTGCGTGCTTGCGTGCTTGCGTGCTTGCGTGCGTGCGTGCGTGCTTGCTTGCTTGCTTGCTTGCTTTCTTGCTTGCTTGCTTGTTTGCTTGCTTGCTTCTTTGTGTGTGTGTGTCTCTGAGGCTTGAAAAAAGCACGCTACTTCTTCCTTGCAGATTTGGACATGGTTGGCGGGCGCAAAATGTGAGACAAACTTCATCCACCTCGATCTGTGGCTGAAGAATTGTAGTGCGCCGCTCGGCAACAGAAACTAACAGAGATATTTTATGACTTTGTGCAACTGTGGCCAGAGCATCAAGTGGAGTAGTCAATGTACGCCGGATTTGCAGAATGTTTTATGTCATGGACCCATGTAGCATGATTTTGCGCTTGTGGTGCTTCCAGAGACAGAACCTCAATTCAGTCATAACTCATGCGGCTTTGGTTAAACCATTTTGCTAAGGCATTGCGTGTTAGACTTGAATCTGCAGCTGCGCAGACAAGCAAAAAATGCTGCGATTGATGGGTCACCGTTTTGGTTTGATGGACAGCTAAAAACACGAGAGAATATGTCTACGAAATATGTTGGGTTCGGTTGCCTTCACTTCCCAAATTCAATTATTTAGTGGCCTCGCGGCTGCCCTCATATACGAGTCAGTGTCCTCATGCTGACCGTGCTTGGAAAGTGTTATCATTGGGAGGTAACTGAGTCTTAGATGGAGGACATTGCTGCCGGCAGATGCAAGTTATCTGGGAGTTGAAAATGGTGTCAGGGGATGTTCTTGCCTAGTGAGAAAGAGTGGTCCCGTCGAATTTGCATTTGGAGCATGAAGGAGGTGATAGAAGGCAGTGCCAAAGACCAGACATTTTGATGTGCTTGACGTGCCTCAGCTACCCGCAATTTTGACATTGTAGAAAAGCATCGGCTTTCAGCTTTCATCACGAAAGCTAGCATGCTAGCTGAGTTCTTCTTTGCTTTAGCAATGTTGTGGTGGGAGGGGCTGCGTGCCTTAAAGATTGATATATCAAGCTAACCCCCCCCCCGCGGTTCAACTCCCAGCTGCGCCGCTTCGCTTATTGTTGTGGCGCATACCACCATTCCGCTGAATGCATGATGTGTCCTTTACTGTCTTTCTTAACAGATAGAGGTTCAGAGAAACACCCGGCCGGGCAGACAGGGACACCTTACTGCGTGGCGCTTCATTGCAGTCCTCTACTACTTCAAGACCCGGAGGGGGCTGCACCCACACATCAAAAATGCAAGAAATGCTTGCCATTGCTTTTAGAAAATCTGGAGGGTAAATTTACCCACCGCTTTTGGATGCCTTTGCCGGTTCTTCGGGGCAGTCCAGGGGAGGCTTCAAGTCCTATTTGCACCCACACATCAGATAACGCAAGAAATGCTTGCCATAGCTTCTACAAAATCTGAGGGGTCAATTTACCCCCCACTTTTGGAGGCCTTTGCCGGTTACAAAGTATCAGTTATATAAACGTAAGTCAAGCTTCTTTGGGGCAGTCCAGAGGGGGCCTCCAGCTCTATTTGCACCCACACATCAGTGATGCAAGAAATGCTTGCCATAGCTTCTACAAAATCTGAGGGGTAAATTTACCCAATAGAGCACTCTTATTTCTCCTCAGCCTTTCATAAGCACTCTTATTTGTCCTGCTTTAACTTTTTTCCTCTTTACAATTCTCAGCTGAAAAAGTCCGGTGCGCTTCCGCTAGCTTTCGACCTCCTCCCCCTGGCCTCAAGTTCAGGTACTGGAAGTACACCATGTGGTGCCAGAATGAGTCCCAGGCTGCTTCAAAAGTGAGACATGCGACACTAACTGTTCACAATTGTCATTTTGGGAAGGCAGTGAGTGTGGTTTTGGCATTGTTTACAAAGTCTCCAGAGCACATTATGCTGAGACTGTCAACAACTGAGCCCAGAAGAGCTTTGCACACAGGCCACACAATTCCAGGTGAAGTCCACCAACCAAAAGAAGGAGAAAGACTTGGCAACGACTGCAGAATTGAACAATAACATGTTGTTTGTGTATCACAAAGCCACAAAAGACTTATCACTTATCTCTAAACTGCCGTCGACGGCAGGAGATGTTCGCAGCGGATATTGCAAAGGCCGTTGCAGACATGGCAGCTGCCTCCGCCCATCTAGCGGAGCGACAACGGCTGTGGAGTCCCTTTTTGGGAAGCGTGCAGAAATGAGTCTGCCAGAAATCCCCTTCTTGTCCGGAACGAAGTTTTTCTGCGTCATCGAATCCTTGATCGCAATTCTCATGGGAACCCATAGAACTTCAGGACAACAACGAATGGCGGGAATCGAGCTGTGTTCTGCTTCGCTGTGTCCTCCAGGAGATAGCGCAGTACGAATCGACGGACGAAGCGGATCTCAAGGTTCCGATGGTTGGGCACCCACTGACGAAGAAGTGCCACTCTGGCAACCCGCAGGAGCCAAGAACGTTTCTTGTTGAATGTTCTGTGACTGCTCATTTTGGCTCAGTTGTGATTGGTTCATGAAGCTGGCTAGGGCAAACAATCATTGGATGAACTCCATGTGCTCTTTCGGGCTCGCACGTGTTCGCAAATTGTTCTTTAAGTCTTGCCCAGCCCCCAATGGCTCAAATTGCCCTGGCACCGTCACTTGGACGTGCCGTGTCTCTGGATGGGTGCCGCCGTCTGCGTGAAGATGCACGTTTTGCAGCTCCAGGTTGGAGAGGACGCGGCCGCTCTCGCTGCATATCAAACGTTGAACCTTCACGTTTTAGGCTTCCAAATCTGCTTTGAGACGCTCGATGCTGTGTTAACGGGTTTCGTCCGCAATTTCTGGCCATCCAGGAGCTCGGGCATCAAGCCTGTGGCTTCTGGCAGGGGTCGAGGACCTAGAATCTGACCTAGAAGCCAGTTCACAGGATTCACTGTTGAATTTGATTTCGTGAGGGCCTTGTTTAAGCTGTCGCCGCTGTTAGCGACCCCAGAGGAAATCGCGATTGCTGGTGGGGTTGGGTTGGGGTGGTGCGGGGCACGTGAACGTTCGCTTGCACTTGCGTCACGAAGTTGATGCTTCGTGGTTGATGTGGGGTGGGGTGGGGTGGGGCATGTTAACGTTCGTTTGCACTTGCGTCACGAAGTTGATGCTTCGTGTTTGATGTGGGGTGGGGTGGGGCTTGTTAACGTTCGCTTGCGCTTGCGTCACGAAGTTGATGCTTCGTGTTTGATGTGGGGTGGGGTGGGGTGGGGTGGGGCATGTTAACGTTCGCTCGCATGTTAACGTTCGCTCGCACTTGCGCCACGAAGTTGATGCTTCGTGGTTGATGTGGGGTGGGGTGGGGTGACGCAAAACACGTGACGCAAGACGCGTGACGCAAACCGCGTCGACCAATATGTCCGCAGTTTTCAGCTTCGGTGGAACAACAGAGGAAATTTGCTTCAGGCGTTGGCCCGAACGTGGCCGCAAGTGTAAAGAACATACACCTGCAAAACGCGTGTGCGCCAAAAAGGAGTGCACTTTCTGCCCTTCCCCATTCTAAATTCCACGTGACAAGTGCCGTCCCTTCTAAAAATGGGATGAAAGCACATATGATCCAACCTCTCCCAAATGAAAAAATGACAAAATGGGAGTTTTTGAGCACTGTCCACTTCGGCGCTGTGCGAATCGCACAGGGTCACCATTAGCGGCGGCACCTTGTTAAAGTCACCCTCTGACCCCACCTTTCCTTCATCGTGTCAGAATGTGACTGCGTCTGCAGGAAGGCCTAGTTCTTGAAGTACTTGTGACACATGAATATAATAACGCTATTGTTGGACGGTCGGGACGCAAGGTCGAACAACAATGTATCCTGATTTGGAACTTGCAAGTCGGCAAGGTAGCATAAAGGCGACCCAGGTGTAGCAGCCTCAAATTAAACCTTCACGCCTCTGCAGGTCTATGCAGGCCGGCGACCAGTTCGCGCTTCTATCGCTGCAACTTGGGTGGCCACTTCCACATGGATGACTGCTTATTTCTAAGATTTCTAGATTCTAGACAAAACCTTGAGAGTAACCAGCTGTAGAGCAGGTGCTTCTTCGCTGACAGCTCAGGTAGAAGCAGGGTGGCATCCCGGTGCTGAGGCGACATGCACCACAAAGTTCCAACGAATCGAACGGTTTCCAGCTGGGTCACATGGTGCTTGGAGGGTTTTCACAAGGGGTCTTGTTTGCTTCATGGACTTAGCACCGGTTCTTCAAGCAGATTTTGTGGAGGATGCTGATGAAGCTGCCCCTTTGCCGGATGAAAGCAATGAGAATGACGAGTCAAGCTCTTACAACGACTTAGGCAACTTGGAAGGAAAAGGATTGCAGAGTTCTGAGCCTAAAGGCTAGGCTTTAGACTTTCCTTTAGACGTTGCTGAAGTTTATTTTGCCTGATAACGGACGCTTGTACCGCTTGCTTTATTATGAACACCTGTTTGCTTGGCCACTTATTCCTCCGTTTGTGCCTTCCGGAAGATGCGAAAGAGGAGCTGCGTTTCAGGTGTTCATCGGGAGATGCTCGAGGATCGGGTGCGGACGGAGGCCTTTCGCGAGGCGATCTTCCAGACCTGCCAGGAACGCGGTTGGACTCGCGCAACGAGACCCTTTTTTGATGCGGATAGAGGAAGAAGTAAGCTAAGTAGCTATTGAGTAGGACGCTAATACCTAGGATGCAGGGTAGGTCACGCTTCTTCAAGGAAGCTCCCCCACGCCCGCAGGCGGGGGGAGCTTCCTTGAAGAAGTGCTCGCACTATTCATTTGGTTCTGAGATTTTAAGGGACACTTAACATTTCGTATTTACTTTGAGACAATCCAAAGGGATTTTGTTTCGAGCGCCTTCAGAGGACAAAGTGGTCCTTGAGGTGGGCTGTGGAAGTGGCATCCTCTCGGTCTTTGCTGCTCAAGCTGGCGGGGCTTGGGCTCTCGGATGAGTTTTTTCCTCATTTTGGCGGTTGAAAGTTGAACATGCATTGAAGAAAGCTTGTTGCGAAAGCCAGCTGGCAGGTTAGGCCAACCAAGTGTTGCGCTTGAAAGTTCTTTGCTGTCAGTCCTAGGTCCTGTCGCATGTCCTGTCGCAGATCTTTGGCTTGCAGTCTTGTTCTGTCGCCACAACTCGACATCTTCCATTTCAGTGTCTCTCAAAGATACAGTACCGGTCCCCCCAAGAGGTCCGTCCCTCATCGGTCAGGTGCCCGGCGTGTGGTGGCTGTGGAGGCCGATGTGGAAATGGCCGAGCTGGCGCAGGAGGTGGTGGATGGCAATGGTGTCGACGTGAACGTTCTCTCGGGCCGTGTGGAGGACCGAGGGCTTTTCGGACCAGGTGGTCGACTCAAAAAAGGAAGGAGAAGAGTAAGAATGGGTTTTGGTCGATCTTCTTGTGAAGACATAGAACCTGCAGTATGGAGACCTTGTGTGGTATGATGCCTGCCCCAGAAGATGTCGTGAAAAGGAGAACGGTCGCCCAAGTCGTGCACGGTGTCGGTCGCCCGCCCAAGCGCGCTGGAGGAGGTCGCCCAAGTCGTCGACCAAGCATTGGACGGCCAAAAGGTGGATGTACTGATCTCTGAGTGGATGGGCTCCTCGGCCTCCGGAGGGCCCAACGAACCAACGGTGGTTCGAGTGTCTATTTTTCTATACAATCTGCGAACAAAGCTTCAAGCTGAGCTTACCGTTCTACGCATAGCTTTGGATGTGTTGGGGTCGTGTCACTAGGTTTCTCGGTTTTGACCTTTGGCACCTGGCATTTCCAACCCCTCGTCTTGAGGCTTTATGCTTGTCTGCGAGGATATGTTTCGCAGCGTCGTTTTCGCACGAGACAGATGGCTTGCAGAAGGCCAGGCGTCCAAAGACACACTCACTTTGTTCAGGGCCGACCTTGATGATCCTCTGCATCTTTGCCTGTGCCTGTAAGGCACGGGATTGTAGCTGTAGCTTTCAAAGTTGTCAGGTGATGCAGACAACAACACTCACAGATGTGAAGGGTGATATCGAAGGCAGCAACCGTCCCATAAACCGACGGGGCATACCGAGGGATATCTTTAAGGTTTATGGGGCAATCGAGAAGATCACGAAACGAAAAGGGACCAGCGATGACTACAAATCCAAGTTGCGTAAATCAGACCAAACATCTGAAACATTGCCTGAACCTATTAATCGCTTCTTGTTACTAGACTAGTAGTAAGGTGCCTTGTTACTAGTAGCTTCTTGTTACTAGTAGTAATGCCAGGAGCTACTAGTAGCTTCTTGTTACTAGTAGTAATATTGCCTGAACCTATTCTCTGTATGTTGACGTTAGTCAGACAAATGTGACTAAAACCTCACTGCACCGGCACTTGTTGGGGTGCGTTTTCGTTGCTTCGTGCCGCACACAAAGAACTACGCAGTTCACGCTGTTGTCTCTCATTGATGAGATTGCCTTGGGTCAAAAGGATTTCATACTGTGACTCCTTTTACTAGGCATCCAACTGGGGGGATCCTCTTCTTACCCCCAAAGAGGGCATGTTCATAATTGTGTATATGCCAGCCTACTACAAACCTACAAGGCTATTACAAGCAGGTGGGCAGATGCTGCCGCGGCGCTGCCAACTCTTTGCTGCTCCTTTCAGCCATATGGAGCTGGTGGAGCGCCAGACAGGCGAGCGTCGCTCGGAACACAGCGTGTCCACGACCGGTCCCGTCGTCCGAGCCGGTTGGTTTACTCTGTGAGTCTTCGACCCCGTATTGGAACACGTCTTCCACGGTTTAAGACTTGGTAGGCCATCGAAAGCATGCGCATGCAGGAACTCAGATTTCTGCTGATTTCTTTCAGAAGCGGCTGTACTACTGCGCAATCAAAAGTCGAAGACGTTTGTGGTTCCACAGACTGAACAGCACACCTCTGGGCGGCCACAGCGGAGTGCCCCATTTGGCCCATCAGAACCAACGGCGCACGGCGGTCGTGACCTCTTTGATGCGACGTGACGACGTGACCTTTCGGCGAACAGGTTTTTGGGGTTCCAAACCCTACGGCGTCGACCTCTCAGTGCTGGCCTTTCCTGTTGGGAGCCTTAGCAAGTGCAAGAAAGAGAAGAGGCCTTTGCCAAACACCATTTCAAGGTTGGGGGTTATACCATTTTGTAGATGTGAAGGAAAGCCCTGGTGAGTCTTTTTGCTTATGGGTTCCAACTTCCCTTTCAACCACACGCTGATCCCAACTCTTTACCTGGAAGCCTGGATTTCTGAAAAGCGATCGCAACATGGTGCAGAAACAGGCCCTCAGGACGAAAGACAGCCAAAACCTGGCTCAGTAGAGTTGTTTTTTGCAAAGTACATGAGAACAAGCGGGTCTGCAGGAAAGGAAGTGACGGGAGGCTGACAAATCCGGGAGGAAGCTGGAAGGGAGGAATTTGGAGCTTTGTGATGTGCCATTTGGATTGTGTTGGCCATTCGACTCCAGGTCGGGCCATCACCGCCCAACTTTTGCACCGAATCATTGCCATTGGCAAGAAAGAGTTGGAAGCGGTGGGAGTTGTCATCGTTCTTGAATTTGCTGTCTTTGCGAAATATACCACAGAAGATATGGCGGGTGTCGGGTGGGACTTCGGGGCCGTGCTTGGTGCAATTCGCCCCCAATCCACTGCATCAAGCTGTGGGTTTGTGCATTGCAACGGCTGCCCAAGTGCAAAACGTTGATCGATGGGGCAACCGGCAGATGGTTCAGCGCACCATCAACCTAGAGTTGCCGGCGAGACATGTGGTGGTTTACGTGTGAACATGGATAGCGCTTCTACTTTTGGGTCGGGGGCGCTCGCTCCCAGGCCTGGGTACATGAGGCATGGCAGCTGGTCAGGCATTGAGCAAACGGAATGGACATGTGGAGAGAGCAGGTCTTGCAGAGGACTTTTCGAGAGAAGGATTGCAGAACTTCGTCTTCTTTATTATGAGGACAGTTGCAATCCCAGTTGAGCAAGTGGCACCACATGACATCTGGAGCATCAAGGTTAGCGTTTGTTCTACCCTTGAGAACCCGACGATAGTTTTGAGCCGCCTGATGTGCACATGGGAGAAGAGTTCAATTGCAGAGCTTGAGATGATAGATGAGGCTCGAAATGTCCCACGGACAGAACCACGAGACACAGCAGATGGGCCTGGAACATGTGCCAATCAGGAGTGCAGCAGAGCACAGCAGCTGAGCCACGCACCCAAGCAAAAACATGCTTGACTGCCCGTGAGGAGACTGCAATTGGAAGATGCTATGGGCAATAGTTTCACCATAGGGTTGGAAATCACACCAAGCGCAGGAAACTGTATGACCGCCTTCAAGAACTTGTGGAAGACGCCAATGCCATGGTTCTTTTTTCAAAGGAGTGCGAACACATGAAAGCACTCATGGCAAGCCCACTTGCAGAATTGAGGCACTAGCGGAATTGAGCAGCCGAAAAAGTCACAATTTTCTGTTTCGAACCGTTGGGGGGTTGTGACCCCAGACCCCAGAAGACGGCCCTGATCACAACGAGTTTTGCATTTTGGAGCAGCGCGCTGTTCCAAACACGTTGCACTCCTTGTCTGGTCCACTTTGCAACGCGGACCTGCTTAGTGGTTATAAAAAATAGAGCAGCTGCGTGAATTTTTCTTGTCCAAAGTGCTGTCAAGGGTCTACGCCAGTAGAAGTTTTGTTCAAGCGACTCCCTAGACATCTTCTCTGGAAGTGTGGATCCTTTTATCGTCAAGTGGTTTGACCTTCCCAAATGCACCCGAACGCTGTAGAATCTTGTGTTCTGCCGACAGTTTGATGAAGCAGCGCCTCCTTGCACGTCCTTTCGAGGCTTTGGACCAGCACCTTTGTCGTCCGGTCATTGGCAGTTTGACTCAGCAGCAACTTCTGAGTGACGGCGACCTATTGTTGGGACCTGAGAACCATTGCGACCAGTGGTTTTTTTCACTGCAGTCAACAGGAACCTGGCATGCTCGACACGGGGTTAGCGCACGATGCTGCAATGTTTTTCCGTTTTCGCTCTTTTTGCTTTGACAGGTTTCATTGTGAAAGCGCTAGCTCTCTACGTTGTTTTTTGGGAGGCCTTTTCATGTTTGTGCTATCACTGTGATTTTCATGCGAACGTTGAACAGCAACTAACTGAATTTTTTTCCTTACAGTTCTAGGTGGCACCAAACCATCTAATTCCCACGACTCATGCACAATCATACATAGTCACGCCGCTGAGGTTTGAACTTGATTGCCAGAAGGCCGCCAATATGAGGGTTGATATGTATGCGGTGTGTCGCCGTATGAACACAACTGAAGTGGCTACAATAGCATTGATAGTTTAAAACAGGTGCATAACCATCTCAAGGAATTGCGACGGACATTGCGCAGGCTCTATACGAGCACCTTTGTATACAACTAGGCAGGTTGCTGTAAGTTCATGTGAAGAGTCAGTCCTTTTCCCGGCGCAACGGTTCTTGTGCTCCTTCCAAAATCGGAGTAGATCAATCCGATCAATCCAACCTTTTTCCATTTGAGCTTTAGGTGCTACCACCTAGAAAGTATTCTAAGGTTGCTACCACTAGGGCATCAACCGACTCAACTGCTTCGGCCGTGCAGCTGGAACGTGCTGGGGTGGTTTGTCATGTGCAAAATGTTGCAAAGGCCGCTCGTGATGCTGTTCGCCAGCGAGACTGCCACTTTACTGCTGTCGTACAGCACCAGGGCCACTTTCATGGCATCGCTGTCACTTAATCGGCAGTTTTTTCATGGGGATGGTGCCTTTGAAGCGTCTTGTGCGAGTGGGTCGCATTTGGACACTCCTCTTTGCTTGATCGATGGCAATTCAACTCAACCCTCATGGATCGATGGTATTTCCATGTTTCCATTTGATTCATTTCATCACTTTGTCTCCAAGATTTGGCACAGAGTTCGCCTGTTTTGAGCAGGCTGTGGGAATATGATTCTGCAGCAGTACAGGCCTTCTAGGCCTTGTAGGCTTCTTATTCTTCGACCTGTTGCAATGCCTTGCTTGGAATCCCAATGCTGCTGAAAGGCAGTTTTCGTTTGGGCCACCACTCTACACATGAGTGCGTTGAGAAGCTTAGGTCTGGTTTGATTGTGAGCTGCTTGCGGGGCTTCACTTCACGACTGGACCACAGGTCCAAAGTGTCGGTGTCATATATTCCGGTGTTTGGAGTGGCTTCTCGCTTGCTTTCGCTTTGTCAGCTATTAGGAACTAAGTTCTTCTGCGAAAACTGAAAGATGTCAGCAGACCTTCAGTGGATTCAGATTTTTTTGGAAACTTTCCGTTTTGTGGGCAGGGTGACCCTACTCACTGGGAACAGACATTGCTGTTCTTGGATCCTGCCAGTGAGGATCTCAGACGGCGACCGAGACCGATTCACAGATTTCTTGATCCCGATTAGGTTGGTCTAGACGTGGTCATATTAGGACGTTCATACATATCACGAAAGCCAGCCGGTAGGCTAGGCTGAATTGGGTTGGGCGAGCGAAGTGAGTAAAGGGGGTGTGGGGGGGGAGTGGTCGCACACAGGCCAATTTCGGAGGGCTAACCCAGACCCTGGCGGGGGAGAGCGAAGAAAATAGGTGGCCGGGAGGTAGTGAAAATGAGTGTTCTTTTTTTGGGGGGGTGTTGTGATGCAAGTGATGTAATTGACGGCGAGTAGTGCATCATTAGCATCATGCGGGGCTCAGGAGGCAATGTAAACTGTAAACCGTTCTTTGCCAGGGGTGGAAGTTTATGTCGACGGTAGGAAAGAGGGGACAACGGGACGCGAAAAGTGGTTGGAGCTCCTCAAGGAAGGGGAGATGTGCGTTTGGTGGCCATTGAAGCAGTGTTCGACCAGGCGTGAAAGGGAGGTGTGTGTCTCTTAAGACACCGTGTGATCTGTGAGGGCAGGGGAGGGAACAGAATTCTGTGGGGAAGGTGGAAGACAGGCATAGCGGAGGAGGATGGGTGGGAAAAGATTGTTTGCAAGAAATCTGGGCGTTGCTTGGGGGTGCCCTTTTTGAATGGTAAAGATGCCTGTCAACCATACGCAAAAGGGCACCCCATATGGGGTGCGAGTTCCGGTCTGTAGCGAACAGAATGCAGCGGGCAAGCTTTGAATTGCTTGGGGCGCCCTTTTTAAACGGTGAAGAGGCCTTGTTGCGGGACTCAAAAGGGCACCCCATATTGGGTGGGAGTTCATGTGGATGAGACAGGCACAGCGGAGGAGGAATGTGATAGGAAAAGAGGGACTGCAAGAAACGATGACCCATTGAGAACAGGGAGGGAGCAGAACGCAGCGGGCAAGTTTTCACCCCCCATGACCTTATTGATGTCTTCTTATGGAGGCTGGCTTTCGTCCTTCCCTTCTCAGGTATACATATAGATGTATTTCCAACATATATGTATATATATATATATATGCAAATATAGGTATACATGTGCACCAGGCTTCTGGTCATCCCCGTCGTCGCTGTCGAGGTGAACTGATGGACATGAATTTGCAACAGGGCGACGAAATTGCAGGTGACGTGGCTGCGGGAGATGCGGGGAGATTGGTGTAGGTAGGGTTTGCTGAATGCAACGGAGATCTTTTGGACTCGAGGGAAGGGATTTAGCACGATTCTCCACCTCCAGGACGGCCCTCAGAAGCGATGCTGCGGTTTTTTAGAGTTGCAACGGTAGGAGTGGATGTTGCTGAATGTCGTTGATGGGGATGTTTTCCATGAGATACAGGTACTGCTGTACCTTGCAAACCACAGACCACAGAGAGGATTGAACACCACCAAGGAGCTGCTACTCAAGAACTCGCTGCTCGGACACTCCACCCCAGTTGGTCCTTGCTCCCAAGACGGACAGACCTGCAAGGAACCACTACTCTGTCCTTTTCTGATCTGGCCGAAGACCCTGCCAACGACCATGGAGACTGCATGGTCCAACGATGGAGACAGCCCCTCTTTCGGCTACCGGGCCAACTTGCCAAGATCTTCCAACACTCGGGCGGATTCGCATGGTGGGCCACATCCACAAATCAATCGCGAAGGAACGCGCCCAAAGGTTGCGCGCGGATCCTCGCACGTTCCGCGCACGTTCCGCGCATTGCAATGGAAAAACATGTGGAAGAGGCACTTTAGTCGCTGCTACGCATAGGTTTTCAACGTACAAATGGTCGAAACCGTGCTGCCAGAGCAATCTCTTGCCAGTATGCAACCCCTTTGTTGTTGTCGATATCAGGGCGACCGGGTTCAAACGGTCTTTCGCACTTTGCCTGACTGGGTTTTTGGATGTTTTTGGAACACTGAGGTTTTGTTGTGTTTGTCCACTGTGACGTGACCCCAAACACATCCGTTGGACAAGCGCGACACCACGGTCAGCGACGACGGTCTTGAAGGTCTGACAGTCTGACTTTCTTGTGACGTTTGCGGCCGCTCCGTTCGCGACCCAAGGTGAGCTTCGGTGGCTGGTTCGGGGCAAGGATTTGGGCGTCGTCATTCTGGGCGAGGTGCTGGACTGGTAGGAAAACTGGAGGTGATTCAAACTTTTGAGAAGTTCTCAAGAACTGATGGTTCAAATTGAATTCTATCTACAAATGGGTCCAGCAGTTTCTCAGTACATGCCAAGGTGTCCAAAAAGAGCAAAACCTATGCCGATGACCAGAGTGGGCCGCTGAAATTTGGCCGCCGCCTGGTCTTGAACCTCATTTGATTAGGTAGCATGGAGAAAGGCTGAGATACGCTGCGTGGTGAAAAGATGCAACGAGTGCGGAGGGATAGCTTTTGATGCTGCTTTTACAGATAATGCTGACAAACTGTGATCAATTTTATCAATACCATGGGAGCAAGAGTGACCCTTCATCGTGCTCACCCAATAAAAAAGTTCTGTGTCGTATCCATGGACTCAACAAAACTCTTTGTGTGGCCTTTTGTGTTTGTGCGACATGTGAGGGGTGCTTCCCATGGGATCCGAAATCATCGCACTTTCGGGAACCGAAAAGACACATATCCTCACGACTTTCTGAAAGGGAATGTGTCGCGAGGAGGGTCCGCAAGGTTGCCAAACATACATATGGAACTCGTATGTACTATGGCGGAAACAATGTGATTAGGTGTCGGTGTATATATATATATATGTATGTGTATATATCGCTGGAGCTGTTGTGCCTAGTTGTGGAGGCGGCGATGCTCTTAAGGGAGAAGGAGACAGCCGATTTCAAGGCGGCAATGCAGCTAATTATGAGGTCTAAGAATGGTCTGTATCTCAGGTATACTGTGTGTACACACGTGTCCACCGTATACATCAATGCTGTCACTTCACTTGTTTTGGCCTGCAGTTCGCGGTGTTTAGGAGGTAGTCAATGATTCTACAAGAACCGCAAAGGTTGACACCTTGTTTTCTCGAGTGCACTGGACAAACATGGCCTGCCTCAACACGCTGGTGGCGCCGGAAGCACTGCGCCAGGCCTTGGAGCTGGAGCTGGTGGATGGCATCCGAACCACCCAAGCAGCACAGGTGAAACTGCAGCAGGAGCGATGCTCCCGACACGGTGTGGACGGCGTGCGCTTGCTTTGCGCCGATGGTTGGAAAGCAATCCGATCCGTAGACACTTGATGTGTCTACTTGGTCAATGAGCAGAGCATAACAAATGCCCTTTGGGAGGCCATTGCTACTCGGTTGGAGGCCATCGCTAGTAGGTTGGAGGCCATGGCTACTAGGTTGGAGGCCATCGCTAGTACGTTGGAGGGCTATTAGGTTGGATGCCATCGCCAGTAGGTTGGAGGCCATCGCTAAGGTTGGAGGCCATCGCTATTAGGTTGGGGGCCAATGCTATTAGGTTGGAGGCCAATGCTAGTAGGTTGTAGGCCATCGCTATTAGGTTGGAGGCCATCGCTATTAGGTTGGGGGCCAATGCTATTAGGTTGGAGGCAAACGCTAGTAGGTTGTAGGCCATCGCTATTAGGTTGGAGGCCAACGCTAGTAGGTTGGAGGCCATTGCTCGTAAGTTGAAGGCCATCGCTATTAGGTTGGAGGCAAACGCTTGTAGGTTGTAGGCCATCGCTAGTAGGTTGGAGGCCAATGCTAGTGGGTTGGAGGCCATTGCAAATAGGTCGGAGGCCATCGCTAGTAGGTTGGAGGCCATTGCTATTAGGTTGGAGCCCAACGCTAGTAGGTTGGAGGCCAGCGCTATTAGGTTGGATGCCATCGCCAGTAGGTTGGAGGCCATCGCTAGTAGGTTGGAGGCCATCGCTATTAGGTTGGATGCCATCGCCAGTAGGTTGGAGGCCATCGCTAGTAGGTTGGAGGCCGTCGCTAGTACGTTGGAGGCCATCGCTATTTTGTTGGAGGTCATTGCTAGTAGGTTGGAGGCCAATGCTAGTAGGTTGGAGGCCATTGCAAATAGGTTGGAGGCCATCGCTATTTTGTTGGAGGCCATTGCTAGTAGGTTGGAGGCCAACGCTAGTAGGTTGGAGGCCATTGCCAGTAGGTTGAAGGCCATCGCTTTTAGGTTGGAGGCGATTGCTGTTTGGTTGGAGACGATTGTTATTTGGTTGGAGGCCAGCGCTATTGATACTAGGTTCTCCTTGTGGATTCCAGATGAGTGCGGCGAAGGACATAGTTTCTGCTGGCGGAGAGGTTCTGGGCGGCAAGGCTGCGAGGATTCCAAGAACGCTGGATGCAGTCTCTGAAAAAACATAATGCAAAGAAGAGGTGAGGCCTTATTTGAGGGCATGAGACTCGATAAAATGTTTTCCAGGAGAATTGAACCATCGAGCCCTTTGTACATACACATACTGCACATACATATTCATACTGCTCATTCCTTCTTGTCTCCAGCAAGGCTGTATTCCTTCAGCAAAAGCGGCCAAGCAAGGCGCATCACCCGCAGATTTTGATGATTGCTTTACTATGTCGGACCAACAGTTAGAATATGAAACCATTGATTTTTCCTTAGGTACCTAAGGACATCTTCGAGTAGTAGGGTTTTCGACCCTAGAGGATTTTGACTTGGAGTTAGAATATGAACATGCAGTTAGAATATGGCGCAATGATGTTGGAAAGCATTCAAACTACTAGCAATGGCCTCTAAATGGCTACTAGCAATGGCCTCCAGCCTACTAGCACTCCAACCTACTAGCAATGGCCTCTATATGGCTGCAATGGCCTCTATATGGCTGCTACATGTCATATATTTATATATCCTCCATATTCTATCTCTCACCCTGGAATTTCCATATTCTATCTGCTTTTTGGGCCTTAGGGTTTTAGGCTAAAACTATATTCTAACTGTACCCTAGACTTTTTTTAGATTCTATCTGTCTGTCCATCACTGACTGTATGTTTCTTCAATTTGTTTTTGACTTCATGGCTGTACATGATTAAGACCCCGTTTGAAGCTTGCACTAGTGTAGACGGCAAATTGAGATATCCACAGTCGCTGCCTTTTCTGGAGCAGTGTGGACTTGCTCTCCAGGCCATGAAAGCCTTTAGCGATGTCATGGTGGAGACTCTGCAATGTCAGTGGAGTTGTTTCGGTCTTTCCTGGTGTTCTGGTGGTGCCGAGATTTGTTCAGATCAGAGTCCTCAGTCTTGCTGTGTTGACAAGTGTTTCAGAGTCAATACAATGATACCTGCAGATGCCCAATGCCAGAGCGTTTTTCAAGTATTCAAAGATATTTAACTTCTTCTTCAACCACCGGTATTGTTCTCCAGATAGCGAGGGCTATTGGGGTCCATACTTCAAGTATAGGAAGAGGCCTGTGTGCGCTTTGGAACTTGGGTGCTGATGCCGCTGCAGGGTGCCGCTGCCAGACACGTGGCCATGTGCGCTTTTGGAGCTTGGGTGCTTGTGGCCGTGTGCGCTTGGAGCTTGCGCTTTGGAGCTTGTGTGCTGGTGCCGCTGCAGGGTGCCGCTGCCAGATGCGTGGCCGTGTGTGTGCTTTGGAGCTTGGGTGCTGGTGCTGCTGTCTGTGGTCGTGTGCCCTTTAGAGCCTGTGTGGCGGCGCTGCAGAGTGCCGCTGCAGTGTGCTGCAAACAAAATCTGTTTGCTATCCGGGATCTATGCTGGCGTATTTGAACTTACTATCACTTTCCACTTAGCGCCTTCAAGTCTAATAAAGCCAAGGCAGGACGAGTGGAGTAGGATCCTCTAAAAACTGCTGCCCACTCAGGAGTTCACCAAGGCTGCTGCGCTGACTAGCGAGGATGAGAAGAAGTGCCCAAGCTGCTGCCTGTTGACTCCGTTGATGTATGACTGTGGAGGTGGTCCTGGCTCACCACAACTTCTGACATCAAATGCATCACATGTATTTGTCGTTCTTTTCCAACACGTTGCTTAAAAACTTAATGGCTTGCAGGTACCCATCTTTGCTGGAACAGTTGGAGCAGTCAGCGGCGTTCCCAGCGATATTTCCCTGACGGAAACCACTGAAACCAACTCTTGCAACATTCCCCTGAACAATCGCGGACCGATCCTGGGAAAACACACGTCCTCCAGGTCATTTTTTGGAGTCCCTTTGTCAACTCGCTAGAATGGCATGTGATATGTGAACTCCCAAACAAAAACAATTCATGAACTCTGTTGCAGCAGCTGGGACATCCGTTGTTGTAACGACTGTTGGTCCCATCAATCCGACTTCTCAATCGTTTTTTCGGAGTCCGTTCTCGGCTGTTCTGGCCAAGACTCGGGCGCAAAGACCCAAAGACTCCTTTAGTGAAGGATTTGTTGTAGACTCGTGATGAATACACCCCTACGTTTGAATTGAGAAACATCTTCATATGGGGTGGTTTGTAAATCAAGAGTCTCCACTACGGGATTATGCCTACATCCTTGCCCGCGCAGCCCGAGGCTGAGGGTGAAGTCCGCTTTGTCAAGCCGCGGGACCGCCGGCTGCCACACCCAAATCCACCGAGATCATGTCTTCTACGGGGCTCCACCCGTTTTCCCACTGGTGGCGTTTCTGAGTTGAACTCAGAGAAATGAGGCTCACGTCGGAAGTTCAAGCAAAGGTACAACAAAGACAAGCACCTTCTTTCTAGGGTAATCGCTAGTAGGTTGGAGGTCATCGCTATTGGGTTGGAGGCCATCACTACTAGGTTGAAGGCCATTGCTACTAGGGTGAAGGCCATCGCCATTAGGTTGGAGGCCATTGCTATTAGGTTGGAGCTGTCTCGCAGTCAACTTCTTGCAAACCTTGTTGGATATGGCACGCCGCCCGCTGTTCTGCAGAGAAGGCCCAAGACGAGCCTGCTAAAGAGCACAACGTTTTTTTCTAGGTCAAAGCTTCGGCCAAAGTTATCTTTTTGGCCAGAAAGCCAGAAGATTTTAGGAAGGCACTCCAAGTTGACGATGCACTTCACTTCCACAAGATTTCAGTCTCTGCTCAGCATTCTTCTTTTGCTCGCCAACGAGCGGCTCGACCCGGCGAGCACCGGGCGGCTCGTGCGGGTCCGCCGTGGCGCCGTGGTGGCGCCGGGTCCCAGCACCGGCGCCGGGTCGGCTGATCTCCCATGTTCAACTGCTGCTGCGTAGGTCAGGAAGCGACTGAGGAGGCGCAGTCGAAGCAGGCGCGGTCTGTTCCTGAAGACGAGCCAAGACGTAGGGGAGCATGACTGATTTGTGAGGAGCTAGCGGGTTTGAAGCAACCACCTGAAGCAAATGGCACTTTGTGTGTTCAGGTCGCTATCAATGGCCAAAGCACGAACAAGTACTCAAGACCGGACGATGGTGGAGATGATCAGTCTGAAACAAAGCTTTTTGCACGCAAAAAGAAGAGGGCTGTTGATCTTCTCAACGTGTAGGCTTGCAATGTTAAATTTGAGATTGACGTTGCAACATCATGAGAAATGCATCGATGCAAAACCTTCGTGTGCTACAAGTGCACATGCACGCTCAATGTGACCCTGATTTCTCGCATGTCGTGGTCTTCCAGCGAATGTTGGGAGAGTATTTGTATTATGTATGTATGTGAATTTATATATACACACATATCTATGCCTTTGTGGACAAGTCGTTCGTCGCAAAGACAACGAACACGACAATAGTTGTATAAACCACAACACATAGCATGATGTGCAGCTCCACAACATGTGAACAAACAATGATCAACAGAAAATAATATATATATATATACATATGAGACTAGCTCAAACTAGAGTGACCTCACCCATAGACAGAAAATAGCAAACAACACGTGAGTAGAATGACAGTTTCTTTTCTTGTTGTTCGACATCTCTTTTTGGCTTCTGAGGACCAACGCCAACTCTCCAGCTGGGCGACGACCCTCGGTCCGGTCCACCAACCAGGCGCGTCCGTGACCGCCTGGTGTCCGTTCGCCCGCGTGGTGGAACAGCCGGGCCGAAGCGGAAGACTTCAACGAAACACCCCGGAAGACTTCCGGGTCTAAGGGTACTGTTCATCGCATTAGGTACATAGGTGATTTCATCCCTGGCAATAGGTACACAGGTGATCAATCACGGTGGCGATACTACCTGGCAATTGCAAAGATAACACCTCATGGTCGACACACACGGACGCCTTGTCACGAAACATGTGGTTGGCTACCAGGGAAGCCTCGACAAAAAGGTGTTGTCAATTGAGCTTGCAAGGCTTTAGTTCCAATCTGAGAGCGGCAGTTCACTCACAGATGTCAGTTCACTCAAGTGTCATCTCAGGACCATCCTTGGCTAACTCAACCAGTAGAGCTTTGCTTACTATTGGCAACAAAGAGTCCGATGATTGTCAACTCCTTTAAAGCGTGGTTCCGCATGTCTTGGTGTTGCCAGAGACATTATAAGCTCAAGTATCTTGACTCTTGAATTCATCGGTACTTCAAAGGGATTGAAAAGCTCAGATGCCTTTCAATTGTCCAAAGAATCCAATCGCACTCTGCCAGATCCAGTCATTTTGTTTTGAAGAGCTTGTGTGTGTGTGTTTGTGCGCTTTCAATTTCAATGCTTCAACATGTGAATAGCATCCCAAACGATGTATATTCATGACCTAAGCTTTGCTTGCTTGGCCAGACCTCTCCCAGAGAATATCACGAGGTTTACGCAGCTTGGCCACAAGGATTGAATATGTTTACAAGTGTTCGTGTGTTTTGAACAAGGATCAATCTTTTGATGTGACCTTTTGCCACAAACAGCAGCTTTCCGCAGTAAAAAAGAGTAGATCATCAGTCAGTCTTCAGCGGACACCCAAATGAGCACCTCTGAGGAAAACGGGGTGGAGCACTTGGCGTGGTGCCGTGAATCAATTCAGCGGCAGGGACACCACGCCATCAGCTGAACCAACCAGAGACCCGTTGCCCCCGTGACCCGTTACCGCGGATCCCGAGGTCCGAGGACGGCGGAGAAACCGAGGAAACCAAACAACACCGGGTCGAACAACACAGGTGACCCTAAACCCATCTTATAGACCCCCCAGGTTATAGATAGAAGTTTGTAAAATCCCCACTCAACAGGTGAAACCGTGCCACGGTCATCTGGGGACCACAAACCCTCCCGGTCGCGTCGACCGGTGCTGTTTTTGTCCGGGTTCGCCGGACCGGTCGAGAGCCGGTGAAATCAAGCAGAGCGTGGTCGAGCGCAACTCTCCGGTGTAGCTGGGAAAAGGGCTTTTAAGAATTGTATTGTTTCTAATAGCAACCATTGTTACTACTAGTAAGGCACTTGTTACTAGAAGCGATGCACTAGTTACTGGGCTTCTAAGTTGTATATACAACTTTCGCATGCATTGGTACTCGTTGCAGGTACTCGGTGTGCAGTTGGTTTTTGCCAACTTCGATTGTGCAGCATTCACCGCAGCATCACTATATGGCACTCGATGGTACTCTCCTGTCCTTGATGTTGGACCCAACAATTTTGAGGCAACGATGAACGCCGTGACCAGCCATTTTAGTCCGGTCGCTGGTTCTTCGAAGCATCGACCGTCTTTTTGAGACTTGATGGCATGATGAGTCGATTGAGGCTGAATCAGTCTCTGAAGCACCTTTGGCCGGAGATGAGCGAGGCGGTTCTATCTGAGATGAAACGAACTAGTGCTGGTCTGGACGGTTCTAAGTTATTGTTATTATAATGCTATTTAGTATTTGTTTACTAATTAACAAGTTAATCTATTTCGATTTTTTTGCAAACGGATTTCTTTGTTTTTGGACAGTCACATATCATACGTATCACACATTCATTGACCTCTACATGATGAAGTGCTGTATCTTTTGCAGGCCGCGAGGGCAATTGCACACAGTGCGGAACTCAGCATAGTGGGGTTGGTTTGCGATATTTCAGTGCAAGCTTCAACAGCTCCTGCATTTTTGTGTGCTGACACAGAACCTTAAGGCAAAGTCCTCCCAGTGATCAAATCCAAGCTCATAGCGAAGGCACTGCTGAAGCAGGGGAGAGCAGCCAAACCAGAATCGCTGAAGCGTTTGCACATTGAATTCAATAGGGATCAAGTTCGAAGTTAGAAGCAACACATGTGCCTCCATGGGGCCCGTTTGACAATGACTTGTCACTTTGCATTCAGGGCAAGGGTGCGATCACTGATGCAGCTTGCACGCAGGGGGGTGTTCAGAGAAATGCGGGCTTTGGTGAAGGAGTCGTGTTCTTTTCACAAGCTTACAGGGTAGCGGATCCACAACTCTGGTGCATTAGAGAGGGAGAGAGAGAGAGAGAGAGAGAAGGGGAGAGAAGAGCAAGGGAAAGCAAAGAAAGCAAACAAAGGTGGAAAGGAAAAGGACAGGAACGGAGGGAAAGACAAACATATGGAAAGAAGACAGAAAGGCAGAAACTTGATGTGCCTGCTTTGAATAGAGGGAGCCAAGGTGAGAAGAACAGACACTGTCCACAATTGTCCACATTCATTGTTGCTTGAGAACGGTTGTGAATCATTCAGCCTCGCAAACGGGTTGCATTTCTAAGGTTAAGTTTCCCGGAAAAGTCTAGGAACCACATGAATAGTGCGAGCGCTTCTTCAAGGAAGCTCCCCCCACCCTTGAAGAAGCGTGAGCTATCCTGCGTCCTAAGTAGTAGCTATTGAAGCTACTAGATACCGTTTGCCTCTACTAGCTACCTACTGTATCTACTACCTACCTCTATGGCCTACCCCCCCGGGCTTAGCAAAAAAAAACGTACTTTGTCCAGTTCGCGAAAGAAAGAGTCCGGGGGTTTGGGAATCCGTGGGCCCAGGTGAAATTCGACCAGTTCACTCTGGGCTCTCAGCCTGTGGTGCTTGGGCCTATCCAGGTCGGTCCCAAACGGGCCAGTCTAATCGTTACCTGTTAGGCTTGATACAAAAGGAGAAGGAGTCAAACGGAAGTGGACAAAGGTAGTCAAAGTAGAACGGACGTCTTCACAATTGTCTTAAGGCTTTTATCACTTCTGTGGTTTGATCCATACGCACGTACTGAAAGTTTGACCACGGCGAAGTGCTCCAAGCAGGAGAGTAAGGAGCTCTTCAAACAATTTGTGAAGCTTCTCACGAGTTCTTTCATGTTCTTTCTGCTTCTCCCCAAGCAGGCCGGGCCCTTCCGGGGAGTCCGCACGGACTTGGCTCCACCGCACGGGGGTTCCGTTGCCAGGTGTCGCGCATGCCACGGGGGTCAGTCCGGATCCGGGTGCTGCTCGAAGCTTGGCGAAGATGTGAAGCAGCACGTGTTGTGGTGGTAAGGGCTGTAATTATCCCGCTGAAATGCACCCAAAGAGTGAGCAGAGCGAAGAATTGGAGGAGGCTCACCTACGGCTGGATTTTGGACACCAGATTAGAGCACGTGCCATTGAATCCATTGTCACGAAAAGACATTTTTGTAGAGGAGTAGCAGAAGGACGCAAGACCTTGCATCGTTATTTCAACTGCAGTGGGACTTCGATTGGGCTTTTTGGACGCAACTTCATTCGTCTTCTTCGAGCCCCCTTTACATCCCCCAAATCCTGCTTGACTATGATGTGTGTTCTCAGCTACAAACGATGAGGACTACAGGTCGGACATGCACGTTGGCCTGGATCTGGCTGCTTGGTGGAAACCACTCACTAGCTTGTGATGCCACTGGCTGCCAGCACTGTGACAAGTAGGTAGGTCAGAAAGTAGCGGATTTTTCGAGCACGAGCACGAGCTTGTATTCTGCTTGTGCATCGGTGCACACATGGCATCACATTGCTGTCTTACTCATATTGACTACTGTATAGACTACTGCTGGATGTGCCATTAACTCTTGGACACTTGGCACTTCAGGATACATCCTACGGTGTCTTGGCTGCAGAGCAGATGGTCTTCTCATCCGAGACTGGTAAACAGCCTCTTCTGGGAAACGATTTTGCTGAACAAGTGCCTTCCATTGTACACCCAGGCAATTGGCGTTTTGGGATGAAGGACTTTCGGCCACTGAGCAGCATGTAGAGTCAAGCTTGGCGAGTCGAGGAGCATCATGTAGATTTTTTGATTCATAAAGGCTTCCCCCAGACATGGATTGAAACACCTCTTCAGGCAGTATTTTTCTTCTTGAATCTTTTCCTGGGCGGCAGAATGCGTGCGCGGAAGTGTTCTGTCGACCGCACACTCGCGGTTTGGGGGGCTCTCGAGGACTCAGAGCACTTCATAAATCCAGGAAAAGAGAGGGTCAAAGCCAAAGCCCTGGGCTCTTGCTGCCTACAAGAACTGCATCCTTTCCGCCCGGGATGTTCACCAGTTCCAGTTCAGCGAAATGGTGTTTTGTTCGATGTCAAGAGAAAACCTGCACCTGCTTCCAGTCACAAACCGGATCCAGGATTTCTTCCAAGAAAAAGAGCCGCGCAGTCCGAGATGCGCGGCCGCGCTGTGCTGGTCCGTTGCGCCTCATCGCGCCTGAGGATCGTGGGCGAGATGGTCCTGCGTGTCCGTCCGGGGCCGCAGGAGACGACGGACGCGAGTTGCCACGTCTCTGAGAACCATCCGGAAGACGAAGGACGTTGGAGCATGGGAAGGCCAACAAGGCATGTCAGGTGTCCGTTCGGCTTGGAGGTTGGTATGTATTTTGGTTTGACTAGGAATGATCAGGACGGCAACTCATTTCCCTTTGACGGGATTCCTGATCTTGTGCGCATCACGCAAAAAGCTCCACATTTCTTTTTCTTGGAAGGTTACAGCACCAAGATTGATCCAAATTCGCTATTGACGTCATTTTTCCGTATTTCATATGTCTATTAGCTTGGTCTTGCAGTACGATTGCTTGCGTGGCATGTGGGCCTTTCCCGATGCCGAGGCCCCCACATTCCCGACTCTCCGGGCACCGGCGGCGTTTCAATCTTTTTTGTGGATCCGTGGGAGGGCCCAGGAGTCATCAACGGGCAAACCAGTCGTGCCATTTCAGAGAGAGAGAGAGAGGGTGCTTGGCGTTTGAACGGTTCCTTTTTTCTAGATTTTCTTCTTGGCTGAGAGTTATTCAGTGGAAAATCAGGTGCCATCACGTACCTCTCAATTCTGGAGGATCCTTGAGAAATAGAAAGGGACACAAAAACACAACGCCGCTTGGCAGGCCAAAGGTGGACTTCACGTTTTCCGGAAATATGTCGTTTGGCAATTTCCCCTTCATCAAGGTGCGGGACGACAGTTGGCATTTTTCACGTGCGACGCCCTCTAAAGGATTCTAAAGGTTTTTTTCTTCGCTTCGGCACCAGTCGTGGTACACTTTGCCTCAAGCTGGTGAACAGGTATGACATTTTGATTGCATAAAGTGGAGATAATTGCTGAAGCAACCAAGTTCACACGCGTGTCCTACTCCACCAGAATGGCAACTTTGAAGTCATGATTCTGCTTCATGCTTTGCTTTTGCACCTCCCAACGTCTCTGGAGTGTGACAGAGCTGCCGAGCCACCCCCGTTGCGCCAGGAAGCCATCAGGCATGCATGCGACTCGATCATCGCAGACATGCTGCTTGGTTAAAGAAGGTTTGCAGATATACAGCTTGGTTAAAGCCACAAGCCCTTGTATGCCCTTGTTGCAACAAGATGCCACCAGCAGGTGGTGAATTCGAACACCTCAGCATGATCTCAGCACACGCGAAGCCAAAACATCGGTGCAAGAACACACCGAACTCCTCGGTTCAAACGTGCAATCCCCGAACTCCTCGGTGATCGACACCAGCAGCATCGACGCCATCTCGGGTGAGGTCCGTGCTCGCAAGCTCGGACCGAGCCGCACTCCGTCCCCTCCTCGGAACGAGACCGTCACCGGTCCAGGTTTGTTCTGCCCAATGTAGCTTCGCAGCACATGAGCCTGACCGTCTGGGCCTCACACGACCCCGTCCGCGCGCGAAGGCGGCGAAGGCGAAGGTCCGGTCCTGGAAGGTCCCGAAGGCCGAAGGTCGGCTGGAGCTACGTTCGTAGCGTCCTTGTTACTAGCGATGCACTTGTTTCTAGTAGCGTCCTTGTTACTAGTAGTAATGGCCTCCACCCCAGTAGCGTCCTTGCTACTAGCGGTGCAAGAAAGGAACTTCTTGAGAAGCAGATGGAAGCATTCTCCTTGAACACCAGCTAGTTTCCAACCGTTTGATGCAACCGCCCAGGATCTCAAAATGTACCCCTTGGTGTTCTCGAGCCCTGTGCCTGTGGGAATTCTGCCGCGGCTCTCAGAATCGAAAATTGGAGTGCGGTTTGGGGCAGGGCTCACCATCTGGGCCTGCTTGGGCGTGTTTTCGCGAAATCAAGCCCGCTGGCAGCGACGGTTTTTCGCGGAAGCCTTCGGTCGAACAGCGACCGTTGGCTTCGATTGGCCGACCCTCGGCGAGGGTCGGGCTGTCGGTGGCTGTGGTGTACAGCTGGTGAATTGTGGGCAGCTCTGGTGATTTGTGATTCACACTTTTGTGAGGTGAAGCTCTCTAATTGGCTACGGCTACTGTGTGTCGAACTCCTTCAGTCAAGACTTGCTTCAGTCGGCTTCAAGTGATGCTGAAGCACCAGGTGTTTGTTTAGATATGCACGTCACGCACACCTGGGATTGCATGTTACGCACACCTAGGACCCAAATTTTGTGAAGACTGAAGACCAGTGAAAAGGCCCAGTAAGACCTGAGGAGTTCCTGGGACCTCGGTGGGTTTGGGCCGACACATCGCCCGCCGACCGATGTGTCGATCCACGACGAACCGCGTGTCTTCCGAGGCGGGTGACTCTGGTGCAGACCAAGTTGGATGCAAAGGATATCCTACTTCCGGAGGACAGGCAGAGTGATACAGGATTTGGGGTGAATGGTGAGCCAAGAAAGACCGTGCACCGTGACTTGAACTGACACGCAGAGGGCCTGATTCCCATGAATTCAGGAGGAAACAATCATATGATTTTTGCATTGCTCTTCTTTTCAACCTGTCATTCAGGACCAGCACGCCAAGAAGCCAACAGCAGGCACATGGGTTGGACACACATACAGCTGATGAGAGGTATTGTAGGTAGCAGGGGGATACAAAGAGTCTCGCCTCAGAGGTGGGAGAGGTTCACTTGGGTGTTGAGTGGTGTTGAGTGGGAGAGAGTGCGCCTTTGTTAGTCTACTATTTGTTTCGAAACTGGGAACGTCCGTTTTCTTCTGCTACTTGTCAGCTAGATTCCCCCTGTTCAAGGTTCAAACTCGGAAGCAAGACACGACTCGGGACCTTCAGGTCGATGAATACATGACACGACTGACACGACGATGCGGAACCATGGTGCTATCTGGGGCCACCCTGTTGTCAAGTTCTCAATTACTTGCCTTTTTCATCGGTGGGCCTTGGCCAGACCGCCAGCTGCCAGACGTGACACTGTAAACATGCTTCCTTTTAGTCCTGCACGAGATTGTCATCCCTCCATGAGTGTCCAGAAAATACCCCATGAAAACTGTGCAAAAGATGCTAAAGTTTTGCTTTTTTGGTACATCAGACACCATCAACAGAGATTCAGATATTCAGAGGGTTTTCCCCTCAGCGCGCAGACTAACCCTCATGGACAACTTCTTGTGGCTGGAATACTGTATATCAATTTGCTCTCTTGAGCTGTAGCCGCATCTTGATCTATAGGCATTCGAGTTTGGCCATGCATCCACACCCAGTTGGTATCACTTTAGAGGTTTGACAGTTTGAACTTGGAACCTCCTTTGTCAGTACTCTGGACTCTGTTCATTCAATATATTATGTGGTGTGTGCACTCGCTCATTCGCTTTGTCGGTTCACGTTAAATGATTGGCGAATCATCCATTCCGCGGCCCGATGGCACCGAAGGCATCTTTCGGAGGATGGCCTCGGGTGTTGGGAAGGCCATCAGTTTGGAGATCAGTTTGCTGTACAGTTTGGCTTCCTTTCTCACTCGCTTCAGCAAGCTTTGCAGTCTACTTACATATGGAAAGCTGTTTTGGACACAAAATCATGCTGTCTCAGGTCTTAAAGGGTGTGGCCTATGCGTGGGAAGAGACCGAGGCGTGGTCGACTTTGCAACTCAAGCGTCGACTTCCTGGGTCTTAATTGATCTATGTTACATGTTCTTTTTTTCAACGTAAGGGTTAACAAGTCAATGGCATGAGGAGGGGCCCTATGATAATGCCATCCACTTGTGATTTAGGCCACTTCCATGCCATCTACCCCCCTGCTACAGAAATGTGGAACATGTAGATGGCACACACTGCAAACAGAGCCCAAAAGCATTGCAAAAAATGTAAGCAAATGTCGCTTCATTTGTTTGGATCTTTGGATGTCGTTTTGTAATTGTAAGAATGATGGCATTTGGTGTCTGTCACAGCAATGTTTGGCAGAGAGAAAAAGCCTTGGGTGTATATTTCGTATCCCTGCCGCTTGCTCCAACCCCCATCACCCCTTTTTAAAAGGTGCCAAACAATGCATATCACCACCGTTTTTCAGCAACAAATAGATGACATCCCCTAACAACACATGGGTCCCGGTAAACCAACCCTCCATTTCCATCTACTTGCTCAAGGGTAAAAATGCAATCTACTTGTGAATCCCTATCATTTAATTTGGTTTACATACCTTTCTATTCATTAATGTATTGTAAGAATTTTATAGTATTAATTTTAGTCCTATTTTCTTGAGTTATTTATATCAATAGATCGATTTTTGACTCTTGGAGAGCTCCGTAGGAATTCTTGGAACGACAAGTCGGTCACGAGCTCGGTGCACGAGTCGACGAGCGTGGACGCTGGACGCTGGAGGTCCTCAAACGAAGGGGCCGGTACACTCCGACGAACACATGGAAGTGGCAAAGCTCCCGTTTGCAAGCGACAGTCGTAGTCTTCCAAGGGACCATGCCATGTGATGTGTTCGTCAGAGTGTATGCTGACAAAGTCTGTGTGGGTGTCATGCCGGTACCATTCATGCCTGATGTGATTGGGGGGGATGCCTCAAGGTTCCGTCATTGGCGTCACCACCGAGCCGTACATGAAATGGCCGGCGCACTTAGCATGGAAGTCATTGGGGGTTGCGACCCACTACCCAGTGCACGATTTCATGATCCAGAACGGGCGATTTTTTCATGTGCTTTGTTTCTCTCCTGCCAGGCAACTAGGCCAACAAGTGTGGATGCCAGACTTCAAACCTGGTGCGGTCAGCAGCCAAGAGCCTGCAAACGCATTGTGTGCAGAGTCTTGTTCTAGTGCGCTGCATGGCTATAATTCTTCTGAAATCTATCCACCGAAGACCGCTTCGGCCACAGGAATCCGAATTTCATTTGCAATGCTGGCCTTGCCGTATTTGAGCAGCCAGAAATCACCGCCTTGTGCTAAGTCCTTCAACTTTGCGATGTACGATCCTGTGACTTGGTGCATTCCAGTGCTGCGTGTTCTGTGCCCTGAAGTGACTTGGTGTTTGCTTTGGCAAGGAACATTCATTGTGCAAGCTGACATCCTTTTCAAGGGTGGTTTAAAAACGGCACAGTTTTTTGCACTTTGCTTTCCGAAACCTGTGAGACCTCGACCGTCAAGCCGGTGACTGGGAGTGCTTGTTGCTTCTTGCTTGGGTGCCGTCACCGCCACTCGCTGTCCGACGACTCGTCACACAGGCGCCTCGTGACTCGCCGCCCCGGTGGGTCACGCGACTCGTCAGGAGCAGCATTTGCAAGTGTCCCTGTGGGACCGGGACCTGCTTTGTCTTCCTGGCGGATTGGCCGGTTCAGTTGATGTCTACGCGTGGCCTGCGGGCGGTGTTTCGTCTTGCATTCTTTTTGCATTCAGTTCATGGTTCCTGAGCTAGGTATGCACGTGGAACATTCGGTGTGTGTTCTTTTCAGTTCTCAGCCATGAGAACTGCAAGTGATGGATCCTCTGAAAGGTGATTGGCTGAGCAGCACAGACGTACGTACCTTTGCTTTTTTTGGGTGGAGGCCATTGCTATTATTAGGTTGGAGGCCATCGCTAGTAGGTTGGAGGCCATTGCGGAGGCCATCGCTAGTAGGTTGGAGGCCATCGCGATTAGCAGAAAGTAACAGCCTACTGTTTGCAATTGCACTTGTACCCACATGGCAGCTCAAGACGACCTGATGGGTGAGATCAAGCCCATCCAAGCCATCAAGGCCACTGATGGATATCGGAGAGGTTTTTTGGGCACCATACCAAAAGAGATCAATCAAACATTCACTAATTCGTCAGTCTTGTGTCATGTCCATTTCATGTTCCAGGTGTGACTTGAGCTCGTTCTTGAGACGTGATTTACTTAAGATACAATACACTGTGAATCCACCCTCACTTATCCATGTAAAGACCAGGTTGCGAGATGCGATGCTTGATCCCTCCTGTTTTTGTACAGTTTGTTTCGCGACATTTCGGCTTACCAGGGCCCTTGAGTCTAGGCTAGAAAAGTGTGCATGTCCGCCCAGTCACACCAGTTTCATACTGGTAGCGGAGCTGGATCCTGCAGAGGACCAGACTCAGGACTGTGTAGGACGATCCAGGAATCGTAGAACCGAGCCCAATCCACTGTGCTGTGCTTGTGCTTTGCTTCGTGCATTGGTGCTAAATTCGTAGTAACTCGTCCTTCGTCGTGAGCGTGAACGGACTCCGGTTTGGAGCCGATGATTCAGATTCTTGAAGCCAATGAGGCAGCTGCCAGAGCTGGCCTCGAAACTGCCGAGGATGAGAGGAAGGAGCGTGATGAGTTTGAAGCAGGATTAGACGAGGAAGGATATGAGAAGAATCCATCCACAGAAGCCCCCCAGGCCTCAGGTGCAAAGTCCCCAAAGTTGTCAGAGGGAGCAACCACCAGGTCCAAGACCATTGAAGCAGACATCATTAAGGATAGAACCAACCTCATGTCCAAGGTCATGGAAGGTTTGAGAGGTGACGACTTCTTGGTAGCTAGAGACATGGGTATAAATGCTTTGGTTGCCGATGGCGGTTTGCGTGAATTAGTGCGTCGTATCAAGCAGTCAGTGTTTCCAAGAGCTAGTGAAGAGGCTAGGGAACTCTTCCGCATTCGTCAGGTCAGATCTGGCCCTTTGAGCAGGCAGCCTAGTGAATCAATGAGATCCTACTGTGACAGGCGTAGGAGATGGTGGCGCACTTGGACTCCTCCACTTCGTTGAGTGAACCCATGCGCTGTGAACTCCTCATTGAATTGTCGGGATTGACACATCAAGAAGCTTTGGTCATCAGGGCTTGCGCAGGAAGTCCATTGTCATTCGAGAAGGTTGCCAACACGTTGATCGAGCACTATGGTTCTGTGCACTTGAGAGGTGGAAGATCCCTGGGCCATCAAGGACCCAGCATGGGATCAGGAAAAGGGAAACCATCCACGCATAAAGGCAAAGGAAAAGGCAGGAATCCTTGGCGTACAGGCTATTTCGCAGAGACCACCAGCGTTCAAGACGACTGGGAAGAAGAAGTTGCAGAAGATATTGTGGAAGATGAAGAGCCCCTTTTTGGTTTGCTTGCAGGAGCTGACGAAGAAGAACCAGAGGAAGATGAATATGAGCATGAAGAAGTTGAAGAATGGGAGAGTATTGCACTCAACGCCATGGCTGACCTGGAAGGCAGTCAAGACATTGATGCATCATCGTTAGGAGAATCCATCCGGTTACAGATTGCTGCACTTGCCGCATTTGGGAAAGCAAAAGGAAAGAAAGGAAAAGGCAAAGGCAAAGGCAAGGTCATCAAGAGTGGTTTGACTTTGGAGCAAAGGCATGCCAAGTTGCAGGAGATCAAGAGCAAGAGTCGTTGCGTGAGGTGTGGAGCCACTGGACAGTGGGCAGGTGATCCAGCGTGTAAGTTCCCAGGGCCAGGAAGCCATCGCCAAGCAATGGACCCTCACAGACAATGTTAGCATGTATCACAGAGTCTTCATGTGATGAAGAAGAAGAAGTAGTGCTAAGCCCATCAACTCTAGATCATGCTGCTGCATTCGTAGTGTACCCCAAGCCATCTAGGAGAGAGCAACCCAGAGCATCTGATGAAGTCTCCAGTGACATTTCCATGGCAGCTAGGCCTAAGGTCATGCCCATGAGTCCCCCTCCACAAGCTCAGGGTTACGCGTCACAAGCGTCCTCGTCGTCGTCGACAGCCGTCGTTCAAGCCTACAGAGGACCTGTTGCCAAGATGCCAGCGCCTAAGTCCAAGAGTGTTGCCAAGAGAACACCCCCATTTCCCCCTTTGGAGAAATGTCGAAATTGTGAAGAGTTCAGATATAAAGGTTCAACTGCCTACACCATCAAGGCCACATGCCTCGCTTGCTCAAACTCCACCACAACCAGAAGGGAAGAAAGGTACCCCTACACCTTTGAGAACTGCCTCCATGAAGTGGTTGATCGCAGAGGTTCTAGTAAGACTACGTCTCGCGTGTTTTGCAAGCTGTGTGGTAACTTCATACATGAAGAGCCTGCAGATCTTAGGAAGCAGAGGGTTGCAGTAGGCAAGAGGACTGAAGAGACCCCTGAAGATGTTTTTTGTGTTGTTCAAAACATCTTGAAGCGAACCAGGAGTTGTCAGATGAAGTGGCTGAAGCCGTTGTAGCACATTTCAACGAACAAGTCTCGTACCAGCACTGGTGGCCAACGCCAACGAGCAGGACCCGTTGCAAGATGATGGCAGTTTTGAGTTCCCTGAATCGACTTCATTCACAGCTGTGGCTGTCAATCAGACCACTGGAGATGTCATGCTCGATCTCCGGGCAACAGTTGACGTGATGGATCCAGATGACCCCCACGTGTATGCAGCTTTGGATGAAGGGTGCAACACCACTTGTCACAATTCAGCGCAGGGTGAAATGGCCACCAAGAAACTAGAAGCCGGACTCTATTCGTTCCAGTGGAAGCAGGATGCTGATGCACCTACCTTCATAGGCCTAGGTAGTAAGTCCACAACCAAGGGTAGACGTTCCATGCCATTTGCGCTGCAGGCCCAAGACGGAGAGGAGTCGATTTATGGTCATTTGGAATCATATGAGGTAAGCGCGGGTGAGACACCATTGTTGATTTCTTTGTACTGCCAGGTTGCATTGGGTATGATCAAGGATTTGACTCGTGGTACTGTTTCAGTCATGAAGAAAGGTCAAAGGTACATGATTCCAATTGTTCAAGTGCTCACGCACGGGCCTACTCCTTTTGAATCTCACACAGGGTTTGGATGACATGGACCCTTCAAGTCACAAGTTCCTCAGACGGTACGTCCCACATCCTTTCGACGCGCCGGGTCGCAGCGTTGCAATGGCCGCAGTTGGCGCAGATGAACCTGGAGCAGCAGTGTTGCAAAAGCTGTCGGGATTGGAAGGTGTCCCACGGACTATGTTCAATGGGGTGGCAGTTGTGAGTGCCGCCCAGGAAACAAGTGTCGTTGTTGAAGAAATCGACTGCAGAGACCTCAATGATCCTCACCATGACGGGCAGTCATCCAATGGTGATTGGAGGTATCTTGAGTTCTTGCAAGCAGAAGTTGTTGACTCATCTTAGGAAGGCCAGAGTAGCAGTTGAGCGTGGGAATGGCAGGGCGATCTTTATCTTTCGATGCAAGAGTGCCCGCCATAGATCGGTGTCTGCAGCAACTATGTTTGCATTTCTTACGCGTATGATTGGCGTTCCAGTTTGTGTTCATCATGCAGGGTCACACTCATGACGCCGCATGAGATGTGGAGCTAGGTGTGAGATGCGCAGATTGGATGACGCAGGTAGACTCCTTCAATTGGCAGCCCAGTGCTTTCCATTGTTCACGAGAGAGTTTGGCTTGTCAGCTGCAGCTATGACAAATCCACTTGGCCAGATCACAGCGTCTTCGACTCCTGAAGCAGCAGTCGAGCCAGAGGCCGACGAGGAGGAGGAACAGGACTATTAAGATCCGTGAAGGTCACCGTTTTGGAAGCTTGGGTCCGCGCGCGTTTTTGGGCTCTAAAAACGGCTGTCTGCGGCGCGCGCGCGCGGCGCGCGGACCCGGAGCGACTTGAGTTGAAAAAATGCCCAATAGACCAGGTTGGACAAAAACTTGTCTAATAGACAACTTTCTTAAAATTTGTCTATTAGATAAGTTTTTGTGATTTGTCTTAGACCACTTTATGTGACGAAAAGTTATCTAATAGACAAAACAAAAGTTGTCTAATAGACAAAATTCTGCTGTCTTAGACATTTTCGAGGCTGCGAACGAGGAAATTTCAAGGAAATTTCCTCGAAACTACCTTGTCTTTTTTCAAAACTTCCACCTAACTTCCTTCAAACTTCCTTTCTTTTTGTGGCAGTTTGGAGGTAGTTTGATGGAAGTTTGTAGGCAGTTTCAACCTGCAAGTGTGGAAGTTTGTCATGCACATGGACTGAAACTGCAGTAATATGCAAATTTTGTAACATAAACTTCCTCATGCCTATGGTGAAACTGCAAGTAAACTTCCTCAGTGCCTGTGGTAGTTTTGAGGAAGTTTTGATTTGTCTGAAAAAAAATTGTCTCAGACACAGCCAAAAATAGTCTAAGACTGTTTCTTCAAAATAGAGTTAGACAAATTTTGAAAAGTTGTCTTAGCCAAAAATCATGTTGTCTTAGGCAACAAAAAAGTTATCTAATAGACAATTTTTTACAAAATAGATCTTAGACAAAAAATAGTCTAACCTGGTCTATTGGGTGGTGGCCTCGCGGAATCTTATAAACAGGACACTCCACAGGCTGAAGAAGATGAGCCTATGGAAGCAGCAGCCGAGGAAGAGACGAGAGCCGTCAATTCTCCAGCAAGAACCCCACGCGAGAGAGGACGAGCGCGTGCAAGAACAAGCCGTCGGTATGAGGATGAGCATAGCCAGCAGGAATACAGACGTGATCGCAGAGAGTCCACAGGGAGCTGTACGTCGTACAAGCCGTCTTCATCGCGGAGGCCACCTTCACCACCACGTCCGCCACCTGCAAGGGGATATCGTGACTCGAGTGACAGGGTCAGTTCGAGATCTCCGAGAGATCGTCGAGACAGTCGGGAGCGTGATGCCGGGACTGCAAGCAGATCCACACTTGAGAAGACGTTAGACTTTTTGCGCAAAGGACTGGATGAGTTGCGCGCCCAGGTGCAAGCAAGCAAAGAGAGCGACCGCGGACGCGGCGTAGCTTGTTCGGGAAG